GATAATTTTATATCATCTGTCCACATAGATATTTATGACTGATTTTTAATAAATTATTAATAGATTTATGATAACAAGTATTTTTTGGCCATATAAATAGTAAAAAAGATCAATGATATATATATTAGTTACCCAATCCCATTTTGTTATTTATTTTCAATCTTTGTTCAATTGTTTCCATGGTGTAGGCGCATGATTTCAAAATGTTGGGCCAGCTGTGATTTAAAGTGGAATTGTGAATATTTTATATTCTATGTAACAGGAATAACAAAAAAATATATTGTGCTTTCCTTTTTCTTTTTAACAGGAATAACCATAATATTTTACACGTTCTTTTTTTTGGTACCTTTTGTTAAAGGTTCAACTACATCACAATTCTTTGCCTTCTGAGCTGGAAAAGAAAAATTAATAGTAGCCTGAACAAGGTCATGCAAAAAATATATTTATGATAAACCAGCTTTTCTACCTCGTATGAGCTTTGCTTGTACTATCAACTATCCTAAAGCAAAATAAATAAATAAATAAAGTTAAGCTTGAACAAGGTTTTCTTATACGTGGGGATGCAAAAACATAATGTTTAAACTGAGCTTTTGTTGTAATTATCATTGTACAGTCTTGTAGAGGACAAAGAGAAAAAAATCATTTATTTGTTTGTTTTGTTTGTTTGTTTTATTATTTTACTTTCCACAAATCCAAAATGCAAAAACAATCTAAAAATTCAAACAATTTTTGGAAATCAAGCTAGCTAACACCCCTCTCACATCGAAGAAAGAGACTTAAAATCATTTATTTGATTTTGGACACTTGACATGCAAGGAAAACAAATTCTCTACCTATTTTCCCTGGGCTATATATTTACACATATCTATCTATCAAAGAACTTGTTCCAACAGAATTAATTGCAATGGCGGAAAAGGAGGAGATTATAAAGAACTTGATTAAAAGAGACATGAAGGGGGAATGGAAAGAGGTTGTGGAAATATGTGGTCGTCAGCCAGAGGTTCGACGAATGAAGATCAATCAATCAGGTGGGACTGTTTTGTTGTTCAAAATTGTGAAATTAAATAAATAGATTTATAAAGAAAACAAATTATATACCAAGAACATATGCTGATAATTACAACTAAATTTCAACAGAAATACACAAAAAAACAATAAAGGGTAAAGAGACAAAACCGAAGCCTGCACGGAAGTTTCCTTAAAACAGATTTCGCCGCCTCACGGTCGAGTGCTTGAGGAAACCCGACGTCTGTCACCCAGGATACGACGGTCAAAACCAGCTACGGCAGAAGCACTATCTGTCTAGCTTAGCGAACAAAATAATGGCAGCACTCTCTCACAATAGGAACTATCAAGCAAACTGACTTGTAAAATGGAAGCAAAAATTTCTATATTGAAACTAGACAGGAGCGTCTCAATTTATACATGTATAGGGGAGAGAGGAAAAGCCTCCAGCCTTTAAGGCTAGTCATTAAAACACCAAGCATCCATAGCCCTTTTCCACAAAATGAAAAATATGGATGCCCAAAGGATTCACACCCTTTAGCCAAGAAAAAAGATTTAAATACTCTTTAAAATCTTATTCATGAATCTAACATCATGAAGCAATTTCTTGGAAATTTCTTATTCAAAACCCAATGGTTTTTGGCACACTTGGACCCAACACAAAAAATAGTTAGGACCCACTTTAATATTTAATTAAAGTCACCACACTTTAATATTAAATTAAAGTCCCCAAAAATCATTTTTTCTAACAATCCCCCATATGAATAAAAATTGACCGAATGACTCAACAAACGGACATCGTTCAACAATAAAGACTCTGAGACAGAGTACAACAGACTAATCCCGACATCAAAGAAGGTAGCTTTTGGCTTTGAACCTCTCCCAGTGAAAACCTATCGAGTTTACTGGCAGATCAGTGCATAAGACATCTTAAACTGCTCTACCGTTTATGTAAACTGAGACAATAGATCTCACACGGGAATTACTCCTACCACCATTATGTTCTCACTGGTGTGCCCTGTGTGGCCCTGGACACTAGCCTGGTTCAGTGAGTGGTTTCAAAGGAATCTTGGCCTGCCCAATTCTTCTAGAAGCGGCCTCACTTCAAACTCACATAGGTGACTCTACTAAAGTATCCTGCAATACTTAGCTCAACAGCTTAACACATAAGAGTCATTAAAAGCTTAACTTATCCTCTACACTTGCAGGTATCACTAATAGAAGGAATGGCTGGAGGTTTAACCTCCTCAGTGACATACCACCGTTACACGCAATTAGGTTGTCCCATTGAACCTAGATCTTGGGATCTCCAGTCAACTAGGTTGGGTTTCCATTCCGATAACTTCCAAAGGCCTTAACCCCATTCCTTTTGACGACGTTTCGACTAACACTCGATTTAACCCTTTGGTTAGCGGATCCGCAATGTTGTCCTTAAACTTTACAAAGTCTAAAGAGACAACTCCATTCGAGAGTAGTGTCGTATGGAATTATGTCTGCGACGATATGTCTAGACTTTCCGTTATACATATTACTATGTGCGCTACCAATTGTAGATTGACAATCACAATGAATACAAATAGCTGGCACAGATTTGACCAACATGGAATATCTTCAATGAAATGGCGAAGCCATTCTGCTTCTTCCGTTGCTTTATCCAAAGCAATAAACTCTAATTCCATCGTTGATCTAGATATACACGTTTGCTTGGAAGATTTCCAAGACATGGCTGCCCCACCAAGAGTGAACACATATCCACTAGTGGACTTTGAGTCCTTTATATCTGATCCAATTCGCGTCACTATATCATTCAAGCACTGCTGGATATCGAGTATAATGCAGCCCATAATCCCGAGTGTAGCGTAAATACCTTAACACCCGCACAATGCCCTTCCAATGAGAAGCATCAGGATTACTTGTGTATCTACTAAGCCTGCTAACCGAGTAAGCTATATCTGGCCTAGTACAACTCATCAGATACATTAAACTTCCAATTACCCGAGAATATTCTAACTGAGAGACACTCTCTTTATTATTCTTGGTAAAATGTAGACTTAAGTCTACAGGTGTCGATGACACACTCGTATCTGATCCACTAAACTTCTCAAGTATCTTATCAACATAATGAGACTGATAAAGTATAATTCCGCTAGAGATTCTGGTAATCTTAATTCCCAGAATAACATCTGCAATGCCCATATCCTTCATGTCAAATTTAGAGTTTAACAACTTCTTGGTAGTTTTGCATTTCATCGTTACTACCTATAATGAGCATATCATCAACATATAGACACAAAATAACATAACCTCTGTCAGTGTCTGACATAAACACACTTGTTACATTCGTTGATTCTAAACCCATTTGACAATATTACATTGTCAAACTTCTTCATGCCATTGTTTAGGCGCTTGCCTCAAACCATACAAAGATTTGACAAGTTTACAGACTTTCTTGCTTTGTCCTGGAGTGAAAACCCTTCAGGTTGCTCCATGTAGATTTCTTCATTCAAATCCCCATTTAAAAAAGCTGTCTTTACATCCATCTGGTGTATCTCAAGATTGCGCAAAGCTGCTATCGCAATCATTATGCGAATGGATGTTATCCTGGTTATAGGTGAGTACATATCAAAGTAATCCAGGCCTTCTCGTTGCCTGTACCCTTTGATAACGAGCCTCGCCTTATACTTGTCAATAGACCCATCGGCCTTCATCTTTCATTTAAAAATCCATTTGCAGCCTAAAGGCTTAACACCTGGAGGTAAATCTACCAACTCCCAGGTGTGGTTCTGTAAGATGGAGTCAATCTCACTTTTGATCGCTTCTTTCCATAAAGGACTCTCAGGATAAGTCACAGCTTCGTGGAAAGTTTGAGGTTTGTTCTTAACCATATAAGTCAAGAAGTCTGGACCAAAAGATTTGGATGTCCTAGCCCTTTTACTCCGTCTGGGCTCATCTAAAACCTCAATTTGATCATCACCTGAATCATCAATATGATCATCCTCACTAGCAAGCTCATCAAATTGCTCCAAAGACCTTGGAACCCCTGCATGGGTTCGGCAAGGAAAAATGTCTTCAAAGAAACATGCATTCCTTGACTCCATGATGGTATTCCTGTGTATGTCTGGAATTTCAGACTTATGAACAAGAAACCGATATGCACTACTATTATGTGCATAACCAATGAATATACAATCCACAGATTTCGGGCCTATCCTAACCCGTTAGGGTGTAGGAATTGCCACTATTACAAGACACCCCCACATTCGTAAGAATTTATAAGAAGGCTTAACGCCTTTCCATAACTCATACGGGATCTTGTCCACTTCGCTTCAACACAAGTTTCACACTTGTGTTTCGTCAAAAAATCATGTGAAAAACATGTTTACTGAGAAGAGACCTTGAGACAAGATTCTAACGAATGTCTGGAACATACAGGACTTCGTTCAAGGTTAGCTCTTTTCCTGAGGTTAACATCAGGACCACCTTTCCCTCAACAAATAAGGTAGTAGAGTTTCCCATAAACAATTTCTCACCGTTTGTAACCGGTTTGAAAGTTGTAAACAACTCCTTCTCGAAGCAGATGTGGCTTCTTCCTCATCCCATAATGTAAACAATTAAGCTTGAACAAGGTTTTCTTATACGTGGGGATGCAAAAACATAATGTAAACAGTTAAAACTGAGTTTTTGTTGTAATTATCATTGTACAGTCTTGTAGAGGAAAAAGAGAAAAAAATCATTTATTTGTTTGTTTTGTTTGTTTGTTTTATTATTTTACTTTCCACAAATCCAAAATGCAAAAACAATCTAAAAATTCAAACAATTTTTGGAAATCAAGCTAGCTAACACCCCTCTCACATCGAAGAAAGAGACTTAAAATCATTTATTTGATTTTGGACACTTGACATGCAAGGAAAACAAATTCTCTACCTGTTTTCCCTGGGCTATATATTTACACATATCTATCTATCAAAGAACTTGTTCCAACAGAATTAATTGCAATGGCGGAAAAGGAGGAGATTATAAAGAAGAACTTGATTAAAAGAGTCATGAAGGGGGAATGGAAAAAGGTTGTCGAAATATGTGGTCGTCAGCCAGAGGTTCGACGAATGAAGATCAATAAGTCAGGTGGGACAGCTTTACATATGGCGGTCTATGAAGGCCAAGAACAAGTTGTCAAAGATCTATTGGACATGATCGAAGACAGTGATGCCGATGATGATGAAAGGGAGCTAGCCTTAGCAGATAAAAAGGGGAACACGGCTCTCCATCTAGCAGCAAAGATGGGGAACGAGAGAATGTGCGTGCAAATTGCTTGGAAGATGCCTGGTTTGATTGGTTTTCGGAACAAAGATAGTGAGACTCCACTATTCTTGGCAGCTCTATATGGTAAGAAACATGCTTTCATGTCTCTCAGTATCATCTGCTGTTAGCAGCTGAAAGATGGTTGGGACAAAATCTACTAATTCGGTAGAAGGAATAGTGATGGCTGCACTGTTCTTCACTGCACCATCGATGGAGAGTATTTTGGTAATTTACTTATTTTAATGTCTTATTATTATGCATTTACACACACACACACATATATATATTGACCTTCATTTTGCTTGTATAATATCCCAACATTTTATTGTTGGGTTGGGTTGGGTTTCCATCCTACGTGGAGGAAGGCCCAAAAATTTAGTAAGCCCATGTGAATTCCAAAGCCCACATGGTGAGGTTATGTTTTTTGAAAAGATCTGGCCCATAAGTTTAGGATTACAAACCCTTTCTCTGTACACAAAAAGAGACGTAGAAGCTGCCACCAAAACAAAGAGGAGAGGAGAAATTCTGTCCAGCCGTGATCAAGCTATCCGATCAACAAGAATCTGTGGTCCGATTGAGCCGAAATTTGGTAGGCGAGTTCACAACTCAAGACTCTAAATTTTGGATGGTGGAGATCAGATTTAGAGTATTCTACTACTGGGTTTTGACCCGTGAACAGTACCATTTTTGGTGAGATTTTTCCTAAACTTTGTAGTTTGATCTTTGGTTGCCAAGGAAGCTTATTTGTAAGTTGTTCTTGATTGTTTGTCTCTAGTTCTATCTAGAGAGAACTCTTGCATACCCATTATTTGTTTATAGTGGAGATATTTGGTGGACTACGGTCCCGTGGTTTTTCCTTTCCACATCGGTAAGGTTTTCCTCGTTAAAAATTACTATCGCCTTATTGTGTGATTGTTGGATCATTATTTTCAGATTATTTTCAGAATATATTGTGCTCTATTAAATTGCTTCCTAATAGGTTCACACAAAGAGGGAGAATAAACACTTCCGCTATTTTTGTGCCGGATTCGGATATTTCAAATTTGGTTTTTTTGTTTTGTTTTCTCCCAACATAGTGGTATCAGAGCTTGGTTCATATTTTTGTGCATCTTGTGTTGAATAATGGAAGCAAATTTGAGTAGAATGGTTACCTTGAATGGTTCTAATTATCACACATGGAAAGGAAAAATGGAAGACCTCCTTTATGTGAAACAATTTCATCCACCGGTGTTTGCTACTGAAAAACCAGAAAATAAATCTGATGAAGAATGGACATTACTACATCAACAAGTGTGTAGATACATTAGGCAATGGGTGGATGATAATGTTTTGAATCATATTAGTGGAGAGACACATGCCCGTACACTCTGGAACAAACTTGAACAATTGTATGCTCGGAAGACTGGAAACAATAAAATGTTTCTAATAAAGCAATTGATGACCTTGAGATACCAAGATGGAACCCCATTGATAGATCACTTGAACACTTTTCAAGGAGTAATTAATCAGTTGGCTGGAATGGGTATCAAGTTCGACGATGAGGTACAGGGGTTGTGCTTGCTTGGTACATTGCTGGACTCTTGGGAGACATTTAGAATGTCATTATCTAACTCGGCTCCAGATGGTGTAATCAATATGGATCTGGCTAAGAGCAGTATTTTAAATGAAAAGATGAGGAGGAAATCACAGGGATCTTCTTCACAGTTAGAGGTTTTGGTTACAGAAAGGAGGGGGAGAAGCAAGAGCAGAGGTCCGAAAAACAGAGATAGAGGTAGAAGCAAGTCCAACAAGTTTGCTAATGCTAAGTGTTATCATTGTGGCATGAAAGGGCACATCAAGAAACAGTGCAGAAAATTGAAGAGAGAGAACAAGGAGAAAGGGATTGAGCATGATGGAAAGGATAATGATCAAGTTGCCACCGCTACTTCCGAAGACTTTCTCATTGTTTATAATGATGATGTTATTAACATAGCATTCCATGAGAACAACTGGGTGATTGATAGTGGTGCCTCTATTCATGCAACATCTCGAAAAGATTTCTTCACATCCTACATACCTGGTGACTTTGGTTTAGTAAAGATGGGTAATGATGGCTTGGCCAAAATTATTTGTGTTGGAGACGTGCACTTGGAGACGAATAATGGCACGAGGTTGGTTCTTAGAGATGTAAAGCATATTCCTGATATCTGTATGAATTTGATTTCTGCAGGTAAACTTGATGATGAAGGGTATTGCAACACTTTCAGTAATGGTCAGTGGAAGCTCACTAGGGGTGTTATGGTTGTGGCTCGAGGCAAGAAGCATTCTACTTTGTATGTAATACAAGTAAAGCTCCCCAAAGAAGCTATTAATGCAATGGATGATGAGTCTATAGTGGAATTGTGGCATAAAAGGCTTGCTCACATGAGTAAGAAAGGCCTAGCAACATTGGCTAAAAAGAATCTTCTGTCTGGAATGAAGAATGCACTTTTGAAAAGGTGTACTCACTGTTTGGCAGGAAAGCAGAATAGAGTTTCCTTCAAGAGTTTCCCTCCTTCAAAAAAGCCAAATATACTTGATTTGGTATATTCAGATGTCTATGGTCCTATGAAGACAAGAACACTTGGTGGCTCCGGTTACTTTGTGACCTTCATAGATGATTATTCAAGGAAGTTGTGGGTCTACACTTTAAAAAGCAAAGATCAAGTGTTGGAGACTTTTAAACAGTTCCAAGCCTTAGTTGAGAGACAGACTGGGAAGAAGCTCAGGTGCATCATAACAGATAATGGGGGAGAGTATTGCGGTCCTTTTGATGATTATTGCAGACAACAGGGTATTCGACATCAAAAGACACCCCCGAAGACTCCTCAGTTGAATAGTTTAGCTGAAAGGATGAACAGGACACTGGTTGAAAGAGTTAGATGCTTACTTTCACAAGCACGGTTTCCAAGATCCTTTTGGGGTGAGGCTTTGAGTACGGTTGTACATGTTCTTAATCTCACACCATGAGTTCCTTTTCAGTTCGATGTACCAGACAGAGTTTGGACTGGCAAGGATGTTTCCTATGATCACCTGCGTGTCTTTGGATGTAAAGCATTTGTTCATATTCCCAAAGATGAGAGATCTAAGCTCGACATGAAGACCCGACAGTGCATTTTTCTAGGCTATGGCCTAGATGAGTTTGGCTACAAGTTATATGATCCAGTTGACAAGAAACTAGTGAGAAGCCGAGATGTTGTATTTATTGAAGATCAAACTATACAAGATATTGAAAAAGCAGAGAACACAATGTCCTGGCATAGTGATGGTTTAGTTGACTTGGATCCGGTTCCTCTGACAGATTTGCCTGCACAGGTTGAACATGATGTTCAGAATGACCAACAAGGTCTACGTAATGCTGATTACCCCTTACAGGACGAGACAGGTGATGAGACTCTTGAGCAGTTGGCAACACCAGAGATACCACCAGATGTTCCAACCAGGAGGTCAGCTAGAGACCGACATCCTTCTACTTGGTATTCTGCAAATGACTATGTGTTAATGACTGATGGGGGAGAGCCCAAGGGTTATGCAGAAGCCATGGAAGATGATCACAAGCTGGAATGGGCTGATGCGATGCAAGATGAGATGCAATCATTGCATGACAATCACACTTTTGAGTTGGTGAAACTGCCTAAGGGCAAGAGAGCTTTAAAGAACAAGTGGGTGTACAGGGTGAAACATGATGAACTCACTTCACAACCACGATACAAAACTAGACTAGTTGTTAAAGAGTTCAGTCAGAGAAAAGGCATTGATTTTGATGAGATCTTCTCACCAGTTGTAAAAATGTCTTCTATTCATGTGGTTCTTGGCTTAGCCGCTAGTCTAGACTTAGAGATTGAGCAAATGGATGTGAAAACTGCCTTCCTTCATGGTGACTTGGAGGAAGAGATTTACATGGAACAACCCAAGGGTTTCAGGGTGAAAGGAAAAGAGGATTATGTGTGTCAACTAAAGAAAAGTCTTTATGGTCTGAAGCAGGCACCCAGGCAGTGGTATAAGAAGTTTGAGTCAGTTATGGAGGAGCAAGGCTACATGAAAACTACTTCTGACCATTGTGTATTTGTGCAGAAATTCTCTGATAATGATTTTATTATTTTACTGCTCTATGTTGATGACATGTTGATTGTTGGCAGGAATACTTCAAGAATTGACAAATTAAAGAAGTAACTAAGCAAGTTCTTTGCCATAAAAGACTTGGGGCCAACAAAGAAAATTCTTGGTATTCGAATCTATCAAAACAGAAAAGAGAAGAAATTGTACATGTCACAAGAGCAGTACATTGAAAAAGTGCTTGAAAGATTCAATATGAACAATGCTAAAGTGGTTAGCTCACCTCTTACTACTCATTATAAGTTAAGCACTAATCAAAGCCCTTCTACAAATAAAGAGAAGGAAGATATAGAAACAGTTCCATATGCCTTAGCTGTGGGAAGCTTAATGTATGCAATGGTCTGCACAAGGCCAGATATAACTCATTCAGTTGGTGTGGTTAGCCGATTTCTTTCAAATCCAGGAAGAGAGCATTGGAATGCAGTAAAGTGGATAATGAGATATCTTAGAGGCACTTCCAGGTTGACACTCAGTTTTGGAAATGGACAACAAATTTTAGTTGGCTACACTGATGCAGATATGGCAGGAGATGTGGATACCCGTAAGTCTACTTCGGGTTATTTGATCACTTTCTCAGGTGGAGTTGTTTCTTGGCAGGCAAGGTTGCAAAAATGTGTTGCACTCTTTACAACAGAGGCAGAGTTTATTGCGGCAACAGAAGCTTGTAAAGAGTTGTTATGGATGAAAAAGTTCTTGATGGAGCTTGGTTTCAAACAACAACAATATGTGTTGTTTTGTGATAACCAAAGTGTTATTCACTTGGCTAAGAACTCTACATTCCATTCGAGGTCGAAGCACATCGACGTGAGGTACCATTGGATAAGAGAAATTCTTAATCATAAGTTGTTGGAACTTGAAAAAATTCATACTGATGATAATGGTGCTGATATGTTAACAAAAGCTTTGGTAAGGGAGAAGCTTGAGACATGTTGCTCAATTGCCAGGATGGAGAATCCCTCCACCTAGTCAGAAAGGGGGAGATTTGTTGGGTTGG